GACCAGGCACATATATGCATCGGTCCAAGTTGCCATACCTCTTTAGCACAACAAGATGAACACCGGATTCATAGAAGCAATTAATTTAGTGATGGTAGTATATAAAGAAAGATTGTATAGAAGGATATAGTACAGGAAGGAAGAGAGATATGAAGCAATTTTAATCTCAAGGTTTAAGGGAAGATAAAGAGTGTATACACCTACGCCATTGTGATCGATTCTGAGCCATGTCACCTAGAGTCTCCAACCATTTATTACGATAGTCACGCGGACCCCAACCAGGTAGTCTGCATCTGCCAACATGGCTCAGGCTAGAAGTTAGTGACTTCAAACACTGATGCCATGTTTTGGTTTGGCCGCCCCTAACTCTCTTCCAACCGTCCCCAATACTAGTCATCATAGCGCGTCGTGGTAATCGGTGTTCAGGCATACGTAACACATGGCCCAACCATCTCAGTCGATGAAGATTTATCACCTCATCAACTGATTTACCATCGTTACCTAATACCCTGCGTCTAACCTCACTATTACTTACTCGGTGATCCCAGCAGATGCGAGCAATATTTCTAAGGCATCTGTGGTCAAATACTAGTAACCTACGAGTATCTTCTACTCTTAATGGCCATGTTTCGCAGCCGTAAAGTAGAACAGAGCGAACTGCTGCGCAGTATACTCGTCCCTTAATTGATAGACGGATATCTCGTCTTCGCCATAGGTGACGTAAGTTGGCAAAAGCCAAACGAGCTTTTTGAATCCGTGCTGAGATTTCGTCAGACACCAACCCATTAGGGCTGATCAGAGTGAGGGCATACAACCACCTTTCTCCCTTGTTCCATTCGAGCAGTGGGGTTAGGCAGGGTTGCCCGATCTCACCATTACTCTTCAACTTTGCCATCGACGACATCCTAGAAACAGCTCTGGTGGATGTAAGTGATGGCGGTGTGGATATGTTGCCTGGAGAACGACTTCTCGACCTTGAGTATGCGGATGATATTGTCTTACTGTGCGATAATGCCCAAGGCATGCAATCAGCACTTAATCAGTTGGCAATCAGTGTCCGCAGGTACGGCATGTTCTTTGCACCCTCCAAGTGCAAAGTACTCCTACAAGACTGGCAGGATTCTAATCCTGTACTCACCCTGGATGGTGAGCAGATCGAAGTAGTTGAGAAGTTCGTGTATCTAGGTAGCTATATAAGTGCTGGTGGTGGCGTGAGTGATGAGATTGATGCACGTATAATGAAAGCCAGAGCGGCTTATGCCAATGTGGGCCATCTTTGGCGCCTTCGTGATGTTAGTCTGGCTGTAAAAAGTCGGATTTACAACGCGTCGGTGAGAGCAGTTTTGCTCTATGCTTGTGAAACCTGGCCTCTCCGAGTTGAGGATGTTAGACGTCTCTCTGTGTTCGATCACCGTTGTCTTCGAAGGATTGCTGACATCCAGTGGCAACACCATGTTAGTAATGCAGAGGTTCGGCATCGTGTGTTCGGGCGCAGAGACGATAATTCAATTGGTGTCACCATCTTGAAACACCGACTTCGGTGGCTTGGACATGTTTTACGAATGTCGTCCCAGAGACTTCCACGTCGTGCATTACTTGCCGACTCTGGGACTGGTTGGAAAAAGCGGAGAGGAGGTCAGTGTATGACATGGTGTCGTGGTATGAAAGAGAGCTGCAAAGGGCTAGCTTCTGTTGGTCCTTCACGACTCCCTGGTTGGTGTCCGAGAGATGGTGCAACACAGTGGCTAGAGACGTTATGAGATATATCTCAGAATAGAAGCCAGTGGCGTTCCTGCTGCAACCTTCTTTTACTTTCTGCATAAAGTATGGTTCTTACTTTCCTATTTGAAAGAGTCTTCTAGTTGTACATTTTAGTCCGCCTTATCTTTTCATCCCTTATCTTCCTACTTTCATTATTTTGTGTGGCGCATATGTACCTGGTGCCCTTTTGTACCAATATATATGTGTTTAAATAAATAAATAATAATATAAATAAACTCCAGTTCAATCCTAACGGGTCTTCTTAGTTTACTTTTCCTGCATCCATTGAGGCGCAGACAAATGCGTGCTCGTATTAAAGCGTGATCAGAGTCTAAACAAGTATTCCAATACGAGCGACAATCTTCTATTGAGCCTCTCCAACGATGACTGATGACAATATGGTCTATTTGAGTCCATCGTTGGTTTGGTGCAGGTGGTCGCCATGTTAGACGATGTCTCTCCTTATGTTTAAAATTAGTGCTTGCCAAAAATAAACGATTGTCTGAGCATAGTTGCAACAGACGATCACCATTATCGGTTCGTTGAGCCGGAATACTAAAACACCCACCTAGATGTCTTTCTGTTTGATTCAAGCTGCCTACCTGGGCATTAAAGTCACCCGCTACGACTACTATGTCTGAGCGCTTAGCTTTCTGAAGAAGCTCAGAGAGCTTTCTGTAAAAGTCATCTTTCACCTCATCATGGCTGCAGTCAGTGGGAGCGTAGGCAGAAACGACGAAAAGGCAACGACGTGTGTCCCTATCCTTCCGAGTTCTTACGGAGCCATTTAGCCGGACAGCACACAGGCGACTGTCAACGGGGATCCATTCTAGTAGTGCCTGTTCTGCCCTTGTACTTAGTGCTATACCTACACCTGCAAGTCCACGAGAACTAGCCAACGGGTCGCCAGATACACGGAGGGTGTATTTCGTTGGCTGTCCATTTTGGCGAGGTGAGGTCAGGTGAATGACCACACTAGGATCCTGTATGCGTGTTTCGGAGACACAGCATACATCAATGGTACGCGACTCTAAGGTTTTAGCTAAGGAGGCCTGTTGACCGATTTGACTTAAAGTACGTACGTTGAAGGCTCCAATGTGTAGTTTGGAGCGAGGTTTTAGTAGACCTGGGACAGCGTTTCGCGCACTAGAATCGTTGGCCATGGTGACACTTGAGGAGGAAACCGAGAGAGGAAGTTTAGTGTTGAAAGTCAAGGTAGTAGGAATTGAAGAAGGAGATTGATTATGAATACAGTGGTCTTGAGTGTTGTTAGAGGTATGAGGGCAGTTATCACTTCCCGGTTGCCCACACCGTGGAAGGATTCTTCTAGAGGTACCTGAAAAGGAAATTGGGTTAGAAGTGGTCTTAATGACCGGAGAGCGTGACCGCAGTGCCCAAGGGACAACTGCTTGAGGTCGGTCACACACGACCTTTTTGTGTTAGCTCCGTTCTTCAAAAAAAACCTTACCGCCGGAGACGGATATCCGTGGGATAAGGCGAGGTGTGCATTTTTAGGGTCGACCTTTTCTAACCCCACCCCTCCTTGTGGGAAGGCAGCATCGCTGTCATGCTGGTTGTCTGAAGGAAACACCTTACTGCTTTCACACCTCTGTACAGTCAGCAGTACGACTTCGCCTTCGGACCTTGGGTTTGCTGCTTTTAGTCTCACCGCTCTTCAATCGACCTGTCTGGCATGGTAGGACCTCGAGGAACGATTGTTCCAGCCAGCATAGCTCGATTGCTTCATCACGATAGGCAAGCCCGACCACCACGTCAAGGTAGCAGCAACGGTCGGGAGTCTCCAACCATTGGTTACGATAGTCACGCGGACCCCAACGAAGTAGTACATCGTTGATGCTACTGGTATATTGTTAACTTATTAGTACATTAAATGGAAATCTAACTTTTCCCGATATTATTATTGATCATTTGTACACTTCAGTAAACTTACCTTTATTTAGTGATTCGGTGCTTTTTTTCTATGATCTAATCTGATATGTATTTCGTGTTCACTAGATCAGGTCAACGATCACTGACTGATGAGATGCCATTTTATTGTGACAATCCATAATTTGAAACTGAATAATTGTCTTGACAATTATCCAGCTGCGTTTACTGTAAACCTTCAATCTTTGGTATAGTGTAGAAACTGGGACTGATACATATCTGACACTTTTCAAATTATTTATTCGTATGAGTAATAGTTAACTAAATTAGTTTTTACTCGTCATTATCTCATAATCACGGTTTTCCACAAAGTTTAGAAAAAAAAAAAATAATTGTCTTTGGTTTGTAGTCTAGAAAGTCACTCTTTATCAAATGGTGTTGAAACCTTTGCCTCCTCCGCTTGCTTCGCTTAGTTTTCCTGTTTCTCATCCTAATGTCTATCTCCATAAAGAAGAACTGCGATAAATGAACCAATCCAACCTAATTCATACATGGCTTGTTATTGTTTCTGTCGCTCAAACGGGGTAAATCTAAATGCAACATACGGAATTAAACAGATTTATTTTTCATGGCATATTCACTCATTTGTTCAAATTGGAGTCAGATTTAGAGCCACAAAATGTTTATTAGACTCCATAATAGTTCCTTTATTCTCACTCACTTCGAACCTAGAGTCATCAACGTTGTTTTAGTGACGGACTATGTTGTTTACAAATCACCCTACTTTTGTTTATTACGGGATGAGTTTTAAAAGATATTACTTAAATTTGCTATATTGGATCATCTCAGTAACTAAAACCTACCACAAACGTTTAAGTAGATATTCAGACAATCTCCTTTCATCTAATCTAGTTTTATTCTAATTGAAATAAGAACAGTGGAGAGAAAAGTTGGTAGAATGCATTGTGACTGATGCTCAATTGCGACTCGGTGACCATGTAGACCTCTTAGTCCAGTTAGAGTTAAGCATCAGACAACTAACCAATCCAGAAGAAACTTAAATATCAAACCCTGTTTTTTTTCTTAACCCATCATTCCCATAAACAAACTTAATGTTATAGTCTGATATTTTTGAACATTTAATGCATCCTAGTTGCTTCGTAAGCTCATCTAATTTAACAACAAGAGAAAAGCTAATTCCGATTTGTACTCTGGAATAATCTATGCGAATAATCACCACTTACACCTTAATCTGTTTCTTTTCTGTTAACTATATGCATTATTTTCAATTAAATTATAAATTTTAGCGGCTGTATTTTAGTTTTCTCTGAATTTATTTTTTCTTTTTCAAGTTACGACATCGTGAACGCTTCCAAATGTTATCGTTAGTATATATTTTACTAACTTGCGTATCTTGGGGTTGTGCAATTTATTTTTATTTTCATCGAACAACCACATGGGAAGTAAGTGATTTTCTCATTTTTTATATATTGAATACAAAACTAATAAGCACTCTATATGGATATTCTATTAGACATTCAGGTGAGAGAAAAGTAACCCTCAGTGAACTGAAGTAAATTTTCTAGATGGCTGACCCCACTGTATAACTGACTGAAACAAATAGATCAATTTAGCCATGAAGATAGAGAGAGCAGTAGAGTTCAGTTTACTCTAGTAGTAAGCCAAGAACGACTAAAAAGGATTCGATTAATCATTCACTGACGTTCAAATTATTCCCGATAAAATGATCAAAAGAGATATACATGAAGTTCTACGAAATACAATGCTTGGGATAACCCATAGAATACTAACGCTTTTTGAGAAAAAACATTTTCATTTCGAGTGATTAATGTTTACTACCATAAAACATTTCTCTTTTAGTTGATTATCTTCGAGATAATTCCTAAGGCTTCGTATATCACTCGTCCTGATAACTGTTATTCAATGGCTTATAGATTTCATAAGACAATACGGAGCGTCGATTACAGTTTATCAATGTACAGCACAGATCTACAAGACACATGCACACAAAGCGAATTCGAACAGAAACGCAAGTGCCAGCGAATGTGAGCGAACACAGGGAATTAAGAGTCAAATGTATCAATAAGATTCAAGCATGTATATTTTTATATCTAGAGCTTAGACTTTTGCTCTACCGCGTACTACTTGAGCACTCAAACGCTAGAACCCTCCAAGCCGCCAGTTAGAAGACAGCAGACGAGTGATTGTTATTCCAAACAGTGTCAACCATGGTACAAAACTCTCAATTATTTATAGATTTTAGTAAAACCGGAATCTTCATTACAGTCATTTAATCCGCATACCATGGTTTTTAGCATTTGTTCAATAACGAAGCTGCACGTCGAGATTCTGGAACTTTTTTCCCAAAGATGATTGGATGGAATGTCTTTGGCTCTTTATGAGCATCCTTGAAATCACCCGGAGGATATATATATATATATACGAATAAGATTTTAGCTCGTAGGAGGGATATATTTGTGGGCTGTAACAGATGATCAAGCATACATATTCATACAGACATTATAATAATACAAAGATATGGATAAATTGTTACTGTTCAAATCGCATTGTCTGTAAAATAAATTAATTGAAGTATTTAACACAATTAAACGTAAACAGACTTGGGTATAGGTGACGTGCTGCATTCTGTGTAGATACAATCAGAGTTGAGGAAAACTGTTCAGAAATGACTTTTCAAAACAATGAAAATGCTTTCGTTTTTCTAACATGATTACAAGCCATGTGACATCGTATCAAAATATTTCATATCGATTGATACAAATATAAATTCAATGAAATTCATTCATATTTCATGCCATTATCAAATCTTCATCAATCAAATAATTTAGTGAAAATCATTAGTTAAAAATGTCTATTTAAATAAGGCGTCATTTTCTCCAACCAATGAAACTGAGGGTCAATATTGTTAATGACCTTGAGGCGAATTGATTTTGATCATTATTTATAGATTTTCCATACACAATAAGCAAAAACACATGCAGAGCAAAACAAAGATATGAAGCGAGGGTTTGATCGATTAGATCATTCAGAGATAGAAAAACAACAGTTTCAGATGTTCTATGTGTTGTTTGTTAAGTGATTGAATTACATTTTGGACATTCATTTTAATACTTTCAAACATGTATTTAGTAACAACTCGTTTAATAATGCATATAGACAAGTCGAATAATTAGTTGGAATATGACAAAAAATCACTATGGAAAATAGTGTCTGTTTCGACCAGACTATTAACAGATATGCTGAAAAAAAGCTGAATCGTCAAAATTTTAGTGCATTCAAGTTGTTAACCTTCTTAAGTGAATTAATATCCTTTTAATTACTAATAATGACTATTTTGAAAAACATATGCGTCTTATTATCTTCAGAATATAATAAAATTCTTCTGTTAAGCACTTTTATCTCAGCTCTGACAAGTTTATGTGAAGCCAAAATTTATGAATTACAAATAATCAGTATGGGAATTCATGGAGATTGTGGTATTTTCACAGTTGAATTCATGATTCGATCTAAGCTAGATTACTACTAAAAACCCAGAAGCACTGGATAGTCAATCCGTCCTAGTACGAAACTCCTGAGCAGTAAACATCCACGACCCCACACGCGAAACTCAAACCCGAGACCTTCAGTTTCGTACACGAACACTTTACCTCTTGACCACTGAATTTGCATTCAGTGGTGTTAATGTTCAACTTCAATCAATCCATGATTTTTCACAATTCTTCATCCATTGTCTAAAGTGGATAACTGTCTCACACCCGACACAGATCGGACTCCACTGGTCATGGCTTCTTACTAGAATCGTGGATGCGCACTTCTTAGATATCCCATACTAGGACGTAATGCTTCGAAGATTTCAATGGTGGTCTAGCTTAGATGGACTCGTGAATTCAACTTCAAAAATTCGCAAATTAAGTTGTCAGAACACTTACATAAATAGATGCGAAAAAAAAAAGAAATCAAACGACTCAGTAAGTGTAGATGATAAACTCATATTGTCCTTTATTGCTAAACACAGTTGAAACATGCCATAGGATTGATGTTAACTCGACTTTCGCTATTTTGTAAAAAAGTGTTCAAGGGTGTGTATACTAATGTTTATTGGGGCCATGGGCATAAGAAAATTGAAACCTTCTCTGATATCTTACCTTCCGTTTGTCTAGCCCACCTTTTATTTTCCATATGTGAATGTTCTTAACAAGTATACTTGTCATTACTTTGTTAGAAATGTGTTGTGCTAATACATAACACATAGTTCTGTTAATCTTGATTACATTATCCAAATATCGTCAAATTATTTGGTAGAAATCTTTTTCAATGATTTAGTTGTTAAAGTTACTTGATTATATACTAGTTCCACCGACTTCAGTTATTCCACATCGATAATGTATCATCATAAAACGTCACAAAATTTCAAAGTAACTCAAAGCCAAATGCACAATATTGCATATAGTTATTTGTCTACATAAACTCAATATAAATAGTTTTTCATTTGTTTGTTTAACACTTACAAATACATAGAAACTTGAGTAACATTTAAGTGATTATATATTGAACGTTTCTAGTTATAAAACTTTATCACAACAGATTTTCATAATTTTCTTGGTTACATATTCTCAGAAACTGTTTAACCCTTCGTGGATCGACAGTTCCATTAATTCACAAGCATTATAAGCAGAGATGAATGGTGGCTAGCATTGGAATTCAGGACGTGCGTTACGTCATATTTAGGACTCTTCAGCGGGACTCCACTGTTAACCACCATTCATCTCTGTTTATAATGCTTGTGAATTAATGGAACTGTCGATCCACGCAGGATACACATATGTTGAAAATGGACCGATCAATTACAGTCCTAAACATCAATGAGAAACTTCTAAACAACCAACACAAAAGAATTATCAATGTTGATAGGTAATCTCTGTTGTTGTTTATTTTAGATACTATAAAATATTCTATTAGTTGTTCACTTGAAAAAGGAATTTACGGCACTTAGCTTTCAGATTTGTCACTAGTATTAAGGACTTTCATGTTAATATTATGATCGAAATTTCAGGTAAATCTAATTAACGTGGACTGTTGTAGTAACTTACAAATTTTACACAGAACTAAATAGCTTCAAGTTTCTTTTTGTAGTTCATTACAGGGACTTAAATCATATTAAAGTTAAAAAGAAGTACAGATATTGAGAAAGATAACAGAGAGTTTAAAATGTGACCAAATGTAAAATATGCTCAGTGGTCTATCGGTTAAGTGCTCTGGCGCGAGACTGGTGGGTCCTGGGTTCGAATCTCGAGAGGCGAGATCGTGGATGCGTACTGCTGAGAAGTCTCACAGTAGGTCGAAACGGCCGTCCAGTGCTTCCAGGTATAGCCTCGTGGTGTAGCGGTGAGCACTTCGAACTTTGAATGCTCAGTAGAGAAGATTTGTGAACTATTATGGTCAGTTTCAAATGAGTATCATAAACAATTATTCGTTACACCTCAAAGACTTTGTTCAGATATAATTTATACATCTTACATAACTAAATATGTTGATCTAATCATCATTAAGTCTTTATCAAATTGATTTTAGATCAGCTAGAATTATATTCACATAAGTGAAGAACCTATCATGGTTAACTCAGTAGTTTTGTGTTACCAATCTTTCAACTTTACTAAACACTTTGTGTGGGACGTTTCTTTACTTAGTATAATGGTTTTATCAGAAAAAAGTGATTATTTGGAAGTATTATTGCTTAAAAATATCTGTAACCTTTATTTATTTTCCACCTTCAACAGTTGTGTTTTTTTTAACTTAGCAGATAATATTCTTATGGAGCAACTAACAGTTTTGTTTTAAAAACGTCTAGTGATGCTTAAATTTCATAAAATATCTAGTAAAACGGAAAGCGTCTACTAAATATAACTGTCTTTGTGGCGGATACCTGCGCGTTTATTCTAATACTTCGTATGCAAATCGAACGGATAACCACTATCACGATTCTTCCCTGCGGTATATGATCTTCAGAAGGTGAAACAAAATAGTGAGAATAATTTATTTCAGAATAAGTGCGTGACAATACATACGTGAAGGTTACTAATATGGGATATTGATAAACGGTTACAGTTTAAAGTAACACAATCTACTAAATGAGTTCACCTCAATATTTAGTTTAAAAATGTACAAACGGTTAAGATTACTATGTCATTGTTATCTGATGTTAAGACTTTTTTCGTAACTAAAATGTATTTTTTTTAAAAACTAAACAAAACTATAATCCACTTCGTTTTAGGTAACTCCCGCTCGTTCTCGTGCACTTAATCAACCCTGTGTTTTATTGGATTTCTACGATGCACATGATGTTTGGCACTTTTTATCTTCAATATCTATGTTCTTCTCATTTATGGTAAATCCTTTAACCGAATATCTGATGATTTTTGTGTTCTTTAGTTTTTTTTCCTCTAAATGTTTTCTCATTAACGTAGTTTCTATACTAAATAAATATTTATTTAGTATAACGAATCAAATCAGTTTAGTACATAGTTTGATATTTAGCAAAAATATATTGTACTAATTTTCTAGGGATTACTTGTTTCAACATTAAAAAAGATAGTAAGATAATACAAATAAAATCTTAAAGTTATTCGTCGTTAAGGGATTACAGGTATGTATACCTTATTGATGAGTGCCAAATAGCACGAAACCTAGGTTAAGCAGGGTATCATGTCGACAACCTTCAACCACAACCACCTTACAGAGCCTGATAGTGTTGTGTTTTGACCCCAGTTTCCATATCATATTGGGATGACGACAAAATGAATAGCAAAAGAGATGGGAATGATGTAGTAGCAATGGGAATTAGAAGTACCAAGCAGTAATAATATGGTTTTAAAAGTAGATGCATACGAAGGAATAATGTGACTAAATATCGAAAGGAAGAAAACGAATGGATACATCCTCAATATTGTGAACGACTGTGAACCATATCACCCGATTATCCAAGGACTGACTGTAGTTATCACTCGAGCCTGAAGCATATAATCTACATCTATAAACATGGCCCAGAACAACCGTCAATGAAATCATCGGCTGTACTACATTTTAGTTTGGCTTCGCTTCTGTTTCTTCCGGTTTACTCATACTGCAGACAAGATCGCACATCTAAATAGACCTAGCGCGTGCCCTAACCACCTCAATGAATGAAGATTCGTAACCACATTATCCAGTTTGCTACCATTTTATAATACCGTATTCAGTGGTTCGATGACACATAAACAAACACCTCCAGATCAAACATATTTCCTGTTTTTCATAAACCACCTTTCATAGCCATTTAACCGTAAAAAGCAGACTGCTACACGTTGTAGTCTTCCTTTGTTTGTTAGCTGGACACTTCACCTATACCGCATTTGATGCTCGGCAATGCTGAGATTTATGAATTGGTGCAGAGATTTCGTCAGACACCATGTCACTCGGAGTGATAAGACTTCCAAAATAAGTGAAGTGATAAACTTACTCGGCTACTTCACTCTTTGTCATTAGTTCAGACATTGACGCGAACCTGTCCTAAAGCAACATGCTATACTTAGATTAAAAGATATCGAATCCATAAGATTCTATTATTATTGCTCAGAGCAATCAAATGACTTTTCTCGATAAAAACATAATACTGTCGTTCTACTCAATATATTTACTCACTAAAAATGTCTTGTTGTTTTTATTCGTAATTTTAGTTAATAATGTACGTGGACGATGATCTCTCGAAACGTCCAAGAAATCAGATTTTTGTTTTTTGACCACTAACTACTGCAACTATGAATTTATTGTTCATAAATATGATTATGAAATGAAAATATTCCACATCTGTAAACGCTATATAATTATCCATGATCAGACAACTTTCATTCTAATCAACTACTTTATCATTTGTGACCCATTTTAGTGATTTCCTTGCCACTGATTTTGCTTTTCCATCTTCTGTGTTTTTAATATTTCTTCCACTTTTTTTATAAAATGCATTGAAGTAGATAAAAGAATCTACATATAACCATAAATTTCTGCAGAAACACAGTTTTGTTCACTTACCAAGTAATTACGTGATTATTTAGATAAAGAGCAGTCAGCACAATCCAGTTTTAGGTTCTATGTTGATTATGAATGAATCACTGTTTTCGGTCAGTCAATATGAAGAAGTAATGTTGAACACTTATCAACAAGGCGTATGTGTGCTTTCAAGGAACTGATGTTTACTTAGTGATCGCAATATTCAATTGATCCCCTACAAATTGTATTGAGTGCACCAATTGGTTACTTAATGTTCAGTTAAAATCATAATGAAGTAATCAGAAATTTCCCATTTTTAACATTTTAAAGTGTAGAATTATCAATCTGGAAAACAATCTCCGTTTAATGATGGTAATAGTCGAAATGATAACCAATTAAATGAAATAATTCAATAGTTGATATTACAGACTGCCCTTCACTAGGCAATCATTGAATCAAGGGAATACTGCTGACGATAATAAAACAACTGCACAATTACTTTACTAAGGTCGCAGTTGTGGGTAAAATTGTCTTTTTAACTTACAATTATTTTGACGGGAAAAAAATCACCAGAACTCCTTAAGGTTTTCAAAAATTGTGAAACTGCATTCCTGAATGATTACATTATTATCATATATTTGTTAATAATAATAATATAGAATAGATGTAATGCGGGTAGCAGTGGAATCCAAGACGCGCATTTCATCTAATTTGTGACTGGTCAGCTAGATATATCTGCATCTCGGAGTTGATGTTAACTTCAGGACATGGTCTCAGTGTTATTCACTTCAGACGCCAACGCCTTATCCTTTGGGTAACTATCTGTACTTGAAATAGTGAAGATTTGTAGCTCATGTGGGTGATTTTGATGAAGTTTCGTTCTCTGAACTGGGTGGTTTAGTCGTGGAGATTTCGTCGTTCTCCTGAACGATATCATCTACCTGAAGTTTGTCCTGATGATATCGTTCAGAAGAACGATGAGAGCCCCACGACCAAACCATCCAGCTCAAAGAACAAAACTATTTGTACTCACTAGCCAAGTGAATAACGCGTGGGTATCTAAAGAGAACAGAACTGGAACCGTGTCCTTCAAGTTAGCATCACCTTTGAGATAGCGATATATATAGCTGACCAATCACAAATAAGATGAAACGTGCGTCTTGGATTCCACGCCTACCCGCATTACATTTATTTCATATTAACTTGTGTTGTAATGGTTATACGGAGGCAATCCGCTCAGGATGTGCATATGCGAACCAAAGCTGATAGAATTTCAGTCAAAATATCAAACCACTAAAGCTTGAAATATGAAGATTTACATAAAGGGCTTCAATCATCTGTCTTTCTATAGAATATAACATACTGTTTCTGCATTGATATAATTTTTTGATTGTGGGTCAAGTAGATTTTAAACATTTCTCACTGAAATCAGTAATTTATCAATTCTTGTATTACTAAAAGTCTGACTTTAACTTAGTAACCAATTAACGTAGTTAATACTACAAATATATTCTACAGAAGTGAATATTTTGACAGGAATTGGATGCCTAGTATGTAGAAGATACACTATTTGAAATACTCTCAGCGACTGAAATTTGAATTATCCCAACTTTTTGTACAGCTGTATCTAGAATTCTTTACGTTAATGATCGATATTAAAATTATGGGAAGACATGACGTTCAATAGATAAATCTATACTTATTCTTTTTCATGCATAACTGACCCACATTTCCTTAGTTTACAAGATCGAGATATGAATACAGTTGAACAATCGCTTGGTGTAGAGCTGTTTATTGAAGGTTATTCATTATTTCATAATGTTAACTGCAACCCTGAAGAAGTCTGGATTAAAATTTAATCCCTGAAATTATTTCAAATACAATTCTTGTGCATAATGTTCTTAGAATTTTTAGCGATTATATAGTCAATACAAAATAAAATTGACATAACTGAAAAGTTTAATTTTGATTATTTCTAACGATTGAGCTATGTTGTACGCATTTTTGTAATCTTAAGAATTGTACGTCTTTGCCTGCTTGAATGGATCACGAATGATTCTAGTGCTGGACTCCTCAACGGCGAGAACCTCTGACCTCATCAGCGATTGAACCTAGAACATCTAGGTATCACAATAAACACTTAACCACTAATAGGGTGTAATTTTATTGTTATTCATTTTATAATACGGTAGTGTTCCTGGTTGGTTGATAAGTCGCCCAAGGTCGTCAGTGTGGTATAGTTTATCTGTAAATACTAACCATAGTGAGTTTAAATTATACAGGTTAAGATGATTGTGGTATATTTAACAATAGCTACTGTTATATACCACTTGTCATCCTCAGTGAATGTCAATTTATTAGAGCTGCCTTCGATACCTTAATTACGACTGTACCACACAAAACGATGAATTAGTCAGGAAGTGTGTTCAACATTTCTGTATCTTCAATATTATTTAGATCCAATTTCTAAACTTACAAAACAAGTATTTCAAATCAAGCATACACTTCGAATAATACATCTAAGAAAAACAAGGATAAACTTTTCATTGTAAAGATGAAATCCAGTTTTCAAATTTTACAACGGATCTGAATAAAGGAAAATAAATTTTTACAATATATTATACAGTTTGTGGTATTGCATCAATATTAATTTTCTACACACAAGGTAGATGTAAGGAGGGAACACAAGATTCTAAAACAAGAATAAAATATAATGACAAAGTCGCTGGTTTTAGGATTACTTATTAGTAAACATAAACAAATTTGAGCATAAAAAAAATAAAATAATTCGGTTTGATTTCTGAACGACTGCAAATGCTCTGCACACGTCACTCCAAATGCCATTATATTTCTACGAACTAGAACAGACGGACAAAACGACTCCCATCGCGTTTTCTGGGTATACTTCCAAGGTTTTGTATTAAACGGAGTAAGTTAACATTTCTGATGATTAAGCATCTAGCAACATATTAAGGTGACCGATAACTGCGTCTTTCTATATACTGCCTCCTTATTGATTTCAGCTAAATTTTCTAGGTACAGTAGACATTCATTATTTAACATTAATGACTCTTTCGATTCAATACTTTACTCTAAATATCTACATCTAAACATTAATTTGAACATTAAATAAGATTGGTCACGCGAAGAGTTCTCTTTCCAGCGAATTCATTTTCAAAGTTGTACAATCGCAAACATATATACTTATTTTTCAGGATGATAATAATTACAATAATAATGATAATAGACTTCTGTTAGACATGGTGACAGTGAGATAGAATAAACAAAGGTACTAAAAAAAATTTTTTTAACATGGAAATTAATAATCGTTTGATTGTTAAGGGTTTATTTTGAACCACGAGTTGTGTAATTTTACTTTCAGAATTCACTAGTTTACTAATATGTCTTTAATCGATTGCCGACCATTCTATTTCATAGACATTCAAAGACCCTGCAAAATCAGTTTTCACTGTTTATACTTTATAAATTTTTAACATTACTAATGTTATGAATAATGATTCTTGACATAGCTTAAAGGTGTTTTGTATCCTTAAATATTTCATACTTGTACACAAACGTAAACTCTGCAAACAGATTTATTGAAGAATCACCACTGAGTTTCTAATTTTTCACATCCCTGCGCAAATTATGGAGTATTACCAAATTTAATATTGTTTAGCGACACAGCAAACCAAAAATATGTAGCGAATATCATTTATCTTAACTATAAGCGACTTTCACTTCACTTATAATTATTTTACAAAATTTATAAGTTAGAGTTTTGTAAAAACAGTCACGGATTATAAAGCAGTTATTGAAGAGATAGGTTAGTGGTTAAGACATTTGACATTAAACCAGTGTGTCACAGACTCGGACCCAGATCCACTGCAATAACATAATTGAATGGTATAGACATCTTGTAAAAAAGACTAGCTAAAAGACAAGTACATAAACACGTACTTGGTATAGAAGTTGCGTGGCTTATTTATTAAATATATTATCTGGTTCATAACACTAACAGACTCTGAATATAATAATTTGCATCATATAATTAACATCTCTTCAGATAACTGGAAGTAGTTCTAACAGATAATCAAGTCTAGATGGATATATTTTTAAACCAACGTTGAGTATCTTTACTAGCACTTCTGAAATGTAGGATTATGATAAACTAATAGTGAAGAAGTGGACTACAACTGTTATTTACCTTCTCCCGGACCTTGAACAACCTATTGCATTACATGAACTTTATTTGCCCTTCATTATTGCTACTATTGTTAGTTTTCGATTGCCAGTTTTCTCCGTTACTGTTTCTTCTTGTCTTATAGTTTAGAAGTGTGAATCTTAACATGTTATAAGAGATTATCGACTTTTCGAGCTAAAGTCAAATGCTTTACAGATATACAGAAAACAGAAAGGAAAAATATAAGTTCGTTTCATTAGTCGGTGTCATGAAATCATGCATAAGCACAATAACTTAACTGTCACATGATGATACCGTCGATTCTAGCCTTTATTAAATGTCCGTCGGGCAGCTCCACAAACAAAACTTCTACAATAGTTCTGGTTGACACTGTTATATTACTGTTTTCATCCTTTAATTTTGAATTAGAATTACGATTACTAGATTAAAGCATATGATTTTTAATTATTGCACTGAATTTATATTTCAATCTTCCCACTGAGACAAGAAGTAAATTTGTTTGATCAACAGCAGTGGCTTTTTGTGCAAACCTGTATCACTGAGATAGAA